AGTGCCCCAGATTACGGTGGATTTGAAATCTTCAAAGAAGAATTTTTACGAATGATGATGGAGCAACAAAATAATGATATACTGAAGATTAGTGCTCAACATTTTGACCACTGCAGGTTACCCTTTTTTCAGGAAAAGAACACGGAAACGTATCCAAACAGACAGCTGGCGAAACAAGGACGTCAGGTGAGTGGCTAGGGGGGCCTCAACACGAGTGCAGCCCAGGGCAATCATCAAAGCCCAATGGGTCTTATTTAATCGACTATTGATTAGATAAAAATAGTCAGTTGACCTGGTCGAACTGTCGTTTCAGTTGACGCAAGCAAGGTGGGTGTAAAGCAACGGACGTTTCTTACGGTATCATTCTGTTTGAGTTAAGCGAGAATGATGAGTAAAAAGGCCTCGGGAAAAAGGTTCGTGCCAAAAGCAAATAGCCAACTTTGTATAGACGTAGCACACTACTTATAAGATTGCTAAAAACTCTTCGACAGCCTAACTTATCAGTACTTTGTTACATTTATACAATGTACTGCGATGTTGGCGCTTCGTACCAAGTGCAACATGAAGCGGCCTGTGCGCAACACATTCAGTTGAAGAACATCATAAACGAGAGATTCAATTGAGTCTCCCGTGGAAAGCCAATTGATTTGCAAATGAGTGTATTTGTCGAAATCAGTCCAATTCGAGTTCAAGTAGATCATAAGGTTGACGAAAACTCGGCGACTGCTTCTACCTGATGAGCCTGAATTGGAAGGGCAAAACCGGTCGTGGGCTGTCGAAGCGTTTTCAGCAACCTTGTGAGTAGTTTTTTTTCATGAAAATATATTGCGATATCTGGAATATCGTGCCAACTGAAACATGAGACGGCTTGTGTGCAGCATCACGGACGATAGATTCAGCTGAGTCTTCCCTAAAAAAGGAACTTGGTGTGCAAATATGTGTACTTCGCTAAAAATCCACCTAATTTGCACTCTCGCCCACTGAGGACTTCCGATATGTGACAGGATGAATTATCGAAAGTAGTCACACCAAGGAGGGTGAACGATGAACTGAACGTGCGGCGAATAGCAACCGGAGTGAGGAAATGGACAAGGATGGAAAAATGGTATCATCCTAAATCATTGAATTTCACTGAACTTCACTCATCTCATTCACGTGATGACGTCCTTTCGGGCCGGAATGGTGTTTCCCATCGCATGCTGACAAACACGGCGTGAATTAACGTACTGAAAGGTAAAACACAATGTCCCCGCGTTGCGAATGTCAGATTTCTCTACTTATTAATTCAACACAGATCGGTTTTAGCGTAAAACACAGGGCATGGCTCAGGAGAGCCACACACCTGGCCTCTTTTTGGACATGGCAACCGACCGCGAATGGGAGTACAGCGTGTTTCTACATAGAACTTTATCGGAACTCAGTAAAACTTTGTCCCCTCTCAAAGGGATCAAGCAAAGTAACAGTTTTCACGCAGCAACTAACTGCCGTTTTTTAAACATCATTCATATTTCCATGAAGGAAACTGCTCAAAAGGTTGCTGAAACCTCGTCGACAACGCACGACCGGTTTCGCCCTTCTTGGAGCTCGTCAGGTAGGCGCAGTCCCCGAGTTTCTGTCAACCTTATGTTCTACTTGAAACCAAAATGGACTGCTTTCGAGAAATACACTCATTTGCAAATCAATTCGGTTCTTTTTCACGAGAGACCGTACTGAATCTCTCGTTTATGATATTCCACATCCATGTTTAGGCGCGTTCCACAAGAAATTTGTGGTACTGTACTTTCCAGATTTAAATTAAACCTGGGAGTATAACAAATAGCAAACTCTCCACCTGTCCAAGCTATTTTACATTTTGGGGGTTTTGCTGGATAGGTACTTTGTTGATAGTCACACCACTCGCGCTTTTGAACGCTCCTCCTCCTGTTCTGGCGTAACTATTTCGGTGAGTCCGCACCAAAGGGAAGCACTGGACTCGAGTTTCGCTCTCATTAGAGCTCATCAGCAGTGCATATCCGATGACCGTGCAGGGATTTGAACCCCGGATATCTGACATTCGAGGTGAGCGTGCGAACACTACTAAACCAATGCACGTTGGACGCATCTGAATTGTAACCTCCGAGCATTTATCGTAATGAGCCGCGGGGACTCACGAGTATATCATACCGCTTGAGCAGCTCACGCCATCTTCATGAGGGCCCCGGTGCATGAAAACACCAGAGCCTCTGGTTACTGCCAACCGTCGTTAGCTGATAATATCTTAAAAATACAGAATGGAAAACGGGTACTGTTATTTCGCAGTGATTTTCGATGAGATGACATCCTATTTTGCATGTTTTTTTCTGTTTTTGAGACGGATTCTGCATTCGTAGCAATTACAGTATACTCGCTAGGATCAATTTCACATGTCCCAGGCCAGGAATAGCCCTCAACATTTCGCACAGGAGTCCGTATAAGCTGGGAGACCTCAACCTCTGCGGTCGTGGAAACATCCGGCCAAAAAGGAACCACTCATTTGCTGACTGACAGCGAGTCCCCTGTTGCTTGAACCTAAGTAGGAACTCTGTTAATCCACTGTACATGAGCTTGTCGGTTTGAAGTGAATCTTTTGCGAGTCTCTTGAATTTTACGCACTGGGTTGAATTCACGTCGTCATTTCGACATGCTCTAAAAGCCAGTTGGTAGTCCCTCATCCAAGTCGGAAAGTAACCAGGAACGTAACCCATTCTTCATTTGCCAGAACGTTTGGATAATCGAGTTCCGAAAAGTTCAAAGGGTACACATCCTTTAATCCGTCGTAAAAACCAGCTGTGGTGGGTCCTCGATCTTCCACGCATTTGCCGACCGGATGAACAACCTTCTGTGAGTTATTTAGTCGGTGCACAATACGGAACTCTTCGTTTTTTCTTATCTGCTGTTTCCGTTTCAGGACGGCATATACGAATTCCTCGCAGTTGGCGTTTCTCGGTATGGAAATTGCTTGTAGAACTCCTTGAAACAGTTTGCTCACGGCAGTCAAATTCCCATATTGAAACACTTGATGGTAGGTATGATCAGCATTCAGACAGACATTCAGAAGTGGTATATAGATAACACGCAATACAAGAGGAGGATTTGATCGGTGTGCAGAGGGCAACTGGTGAGTAATGCAGACTGAAAACAATGCCAACTGGTGAGTAAAGTAGACTGAAAACAGTGCTGAAAGCTTGTTTCAAGGGTCAATGTTCAGTAGCGAACTATACGTAGGACGAAAGGTTAATAATTGCACAATGGGCAATTACCTACTTCAGCGATCCATTGAGCTATACTGGAGAGTGTGTCGCGAACAGATGGGATTTTGTATTTTCCTTATCTAGGGTGACTGAGGATGATTTCAACGCGGCAGTGGTTTGGAAGGTCAGCTAAATTGATATTCACTCCGAATCCGACCTAGCTGTAAGGTGCTTCTCTTAACCGCTCGGTTGACGTGTTCATCTGGCTTAGCGCTCAGCTTCTCTGTGTGCAGTCCTCAATGGTAGTTGTCCCTTTCGCCCTTTAGAATACACACTACTTCTAAGGTCGCCGAAAGCGCATCGACAACCCGCCACCGACTTCTCGATTCCTTAGACCCATTAGGTAGACGTAGCCAAAATTGCGTTCTAGCTGAATAAAGGTCTGCATGCAGATGGTGAAACACATTCGCTTTGGTCTCCTGAGTGGCTGAAAGCGGATGACTTGACTGAATCTCACCTCTGCTAAGGAGAGACTGGTGGTGTGACGGTGTACCTACTTCAGCGATCCATTGAGCTATACTAGAGAGTGTACCCATGAAACTCGCACAGTTTCTCATACCAGGTTGGTCAATGGTTAGAGGTCTCTCATATCTCTGTTTCCAAAAGCTGACGAGACCCCGCAGCATATTTTTTTCGATTTAACGTGCAACTGAGCTGAGTTTCCCACCAACAGCAACGTAATATGTAAACTGAGTATATTTCTTCAGAGGGTGGATTTGATTGAAACTATCAGCACTACATGTAGAAGGCAGAAGATCATTGGAGGTCCAAAAGTAGACGATTCGTTCAGGAAAAAGGGAACGATGAATTTGATTAGATTGGTGAGTCAAGTATGGCAAGTGGACAGTGTTTGAAGAGGAACCACACGCCAGTGGGATCCAGTTCTATTGCAGTAACAATGAGGCCTATAGATCAAACTACAGCCACTAAGTCTGGGTGACGTTTTTCAATCCATTGGATAGTTTGTTCTGGATAAATGTGTCTCGACTGCGGGATACAAACACCAAGGTTGTCTACGACCGGGTTACTGGGACCACAGACGAACGATTTCTAAAAGGCTGGACCAAAGCACTTTGAGCTTGGGCCTATTACACCTTTGTAAGAACTTTCTGCAAACCTTTCTCGGTCATTTTATTGCCCTTGGGCAACTTGGAAGAGATACATTGGCAGTGCTCCGGGATGGACCGAAATACAAGTTTGCACGGTCCGGATTTGGGATCACCTACGTAAGTCGTACATCGATCGACCTTCGGATGGTGACAACTTGGTGGGATATTCTTCCCATGTGGTCTAAGCTAACGGCGAAACGTAGGCCCATACCACGGGAGTTATTCAGCACGTGTGAGGGAGTGCTGGCTGGCATAATGGATTTTGAAAAACTGTTTTGTTTAGCTGTCACTTAAATGCTATAAAAAGGAAATTCATAGCACATTTTCGCGATGAACCGCTTAACGTGAAAGTCCTTCGTCCATTAAATTTGGCTGTCCTGATTTTGTGGAATTTTCAAAAAAGAAAATGAAAGTTTCTGATGACATTCCGTGCATCACGTGACTATGTTTCCCTGTACAGACAGCCAAGTGTTTTTCGAGCGGTTTAGGAAGTTAAGTGGTTTTTGTGACTGCCACTTTTTTAAGATGCAATTTTTGCCTGGTGTGAAAGTGAGAAATTCAAAGTTACCACGTGGTGTGAAGTGGTACTTGACAGTACAGTCTATCGTGTAAACTTTGCAGTTCCAGACAACAGCTGTGCAATTTTTCTTGTGACCTATGACGGATCAATACTGTTCCGGGGGTACACTTTGTATTTGCATAACACATCCTAATTTAGGATTTCAGTGGCGACCAGCCAGATGTTGAAGGCGAATCTATTAAGGACAAAGATATGAAATCAGAGGTCTTCGTTCGGATAAGCCACGTCAAAAAATTAACCCCCGCAACTGGTGTGAAGGGTACTTCACACCACAGTCTATCGTGTAAACTTTGCAGTTCCAGACAACAGCTGTGCAATTTTTCTTGTGACCTATGACGGATCAATAATGTTCCGGGGGTACACTTTGTATTTGCATAACACATCCTAATTTAGGATTTCAGTGGCGACCAGCCAGATGTTGAAGGCGAATCTATTAAGGACAAAGATATGAAATCAGAGGTCTTCGTTCGGATAAGCCACGTCAAAAAATTAACCCCCGCAACTCAAAAAAGATTAGAAAAAGAGGACATGAAATTTGTAATTTTAGTTTTTATTGAAGAGAGTGGAATTGGGAAGTGTCATTATTAATTTGCATGAAAAGGTGCGTTTTTCGGTGTCTTTGCCTGCAAAACAACTCACAAAAGTAGCTGCCAACTAAAGATCGGTGTGTCCCGCATTGGCGTTTATTCTGAATCTTGTAGGTGTGCCGAAGAGATTCGATGGTTTGTGTGCGAGCTCCAGTCGTTGGATCCACAAAGTTTTCGGTATGATTAACCCTTTTATGAGTATAATTCATGTCAATCATCGTTTCAATCCCTTGGTATGATGCCCACATGTCGGAGATGATGATTGAGGCGGGAGCGATGCAGGCCTGGATGATGTCCATCAAAGTGGCCGCAGTTCAATTTGGCACCGCATACATGAATAACTATTTAGTTTCCCGGCAGATCCTTCCGAAAATCCACTGCTGGAGAAGGACTCACCCTGCGTGCTTTTTACGGCGTTTCATCTATCTCGACGTGTAGACCTGGGCCGCTGATGACTGTTGGAGTCTGCAAAAGCCGCCAGGCGCCAACTTCGTGAAGCAAGTTCTTCCAGTCAACAGGGGTCGTGTGGCTGAAGGATAATTCTTCTGAGTCTAGATGCGGATTAGGAATTGTTTTCATCAAAAATAGGTCAACGTTGTGTGCGTACATTCAATTGGAGCTGGCAAAAAGTGGGGTGGGACTTAACTTTTCACACATGCATTTTTTACATTAGTGGCGGGGCTTATCTGGAAAAGATCCCTTCGTTCTAACAGAAACTTGGATTTAGGGACCTACTCAAACCAGTCTAAACTGTTTGCTGATGGATTTCCAATCTCCAGGTGTTTGATTCTTGCTTGGAGCATCTTTATTGCAAATTGTCAGATCGCTACTATCCTGAGTTGTACTCCTCATGCGTGCTCTCCCGAGGAGTGATCGTCTGCTTGATGTCTGTGGATAAGCGCTGCTTCAATCTGCTACCAAGATGGACGAACACTTATTTGATCTCCGAAATCCTGATTTCTTGCAGCCCCGATGACAGTATGGTCCAAACGTCACGCAGACCGGGCTTGCATATTGCTGGATGGATTTGCGGAGAGTCAGTCTTATTTCGGGATAATCATTGTCAGAAAGTGGAAAAGGATTGAGTAGGTCTGAAATCCTGAAGTCCGATTCTTCTCGCTCGTCTCTTCATTCGTAAACTTGGATTTTCGTGAAGGAAACTACTCACAAGGTTTCTGAAAACTCTTCGACAGCCCATGACCGGTTCCTTCGGGTGATACGACTGCTAAGCGCCGAGAGATTGTTACAGCTGAACGCTTTACGGGCCCGGCGCAGATGTGTTTGCATGCGTGGAGCTTGTAGTTCCATTGTTCAAAGAATACATGTCGCGATGCTGACTTAGAAAAGTACATGAGTAACTTCAGTCTTGACACAGGAAGAACATCCTTGGCAAAATTGATTTTCGAACTTGTAGGCCAGAAAAGCCTATGTAATGTGATTCTAAGTAAGGACGAACAAATTCTCCTATTGAATTGTATGAGCTTTTAGTGGTTGGTGATTGGATGATGAGAAGAAGATGGCTTTCTTGAAGGAAACTACTCACAAATTTGCTGAAAACTCTTTGACAGCCCATGACCCGTTTCGTTCCACTTGGGGCCCATCAGGTAGGCGCAGTCCCCGAGTTTCCGTCAACCTTATGTTCTACTAGTCTCCTATGAGAACCGAATGTGTATTTTTCGAAAACTGTCCAATATAGGTTCTTAGAACATCAGATTGAGGGGAACTCAGGGCCTGTATCTAACTAATGAGCCCCAAGAAGGGTGAAACCGGTTGTGGGTTGTCAAAGAGTTTTCAGCAACCTTGTGAGTAGGCTCTTTTATGGAAAATATACTTCGATATCTCGAAAGTTGTGCCAACTGAATCATGAGGCGGCCTGTGTGCAGTACATTAAGTTGTAGAATATCATAAACGAGAGGTTCAGTTGGGTCTATCGTGAAAACCGAATTGATTTGCAAATGAGTGTATTTCTTGAGAAGATGGTTTTATTACGACTCTGAATGTACGGACCTACCAAATGCACCCAAATGATGATTCGGATGTTCGGTGAAATCGACAAAAAAGGCGGTTGTGGAACGCTGGAGCACAGACTAGTAAAACGTGCTCTGTTTTTTTACCATTTCACAGTTTTCCTCAATTGTTGGCTTTTAAATGACGGAACGCTTTTTTGGGATAGGACAGTATATTTCTGCACAGTCTGAAGTAAGATAGTCGTGTAACAATTTATTTCTGGCCAAAATTAATTGCTGGTTGCTGAAGAGAAAAGATTGAAATATGCCTCGGGGACATTTGTGGAAGGCGACAACCATCGGCTTTCCTCGAGTGAAGAGTCCTAAATTAGTCAGTCGTACTTTTGTTTCTTGTAAGTCCACACCAAGGAGGAGGGAGGGGTCAAGAGCTGAACTCAAGTTTCTCTCTTATTATTGCTCATCAATAGTGCATATTCTTGGTTGTGTCAGGGTCTGAATTCTGGACATCTGGCAAGCGAGGCGAGCGTGGTGCCGCTATTCCACCAGCGTACGCTGCGTGCGTCCGAGTTACCACGTCTGAACAGGCGAACGTGTTCACCGTTGGGCGACGTGACTGGTTTGCCCGACACTTCGATCGATTTATCCACTTGTCATGGCTTCCCAGTCAGGTGACGCCATAGAAGCTTTGAACCTTTGGGGAATGCTTCTGATTCGTCGCGGACGACGTTGAGATTTGTAGAATAACCGGTGAGTTCAGATTTTCGTTTGGTAGCTTCCAATAACAAGCTCAGGTACACAGGGTTCTTTTTCGGCTATGTACGCGTCTTACTCTTCTTATTTGAAATATTTATGATCACACTGTTAGGTTTGACGTAGTTGAGTGATTCAGTATTCATCAATTGCATAAGTAATAAGGTGGAATCGGTCTGTCCACTAGAAATTTGTCTGGAAATGAACTAATCAGATGACATCGGGAATCAAACTGTGACGGGCTTCCCGCGAACGTGTCAGCGATTCCGTTGTTAAAAGTACCTGAAGACAACGCAGAACTTCTCCTTGTATTTTCCCTCTCTTCAGGACTAGTTTGCGAAATCTATCAAACTTTTCAAACAAAATATTGAAAACAAGTTGTTCTGCTTGAGAGAACATACTACTCATAAGGTCGCTCGTCACGTGGGTGCCGATTCCGAGTTTGCCTCAACCTTATATCTGAAAACCAAATTCCAAGCAACTGGTGGAAGGCATTCATTTACAAACTGGCTGGTGTTTCCGGGAGACTCAAGTGAATCACATCTTACGCGCTTCTTTAGCCGACTGTGCTGTGGAGTCGGTCACAAGAAGTCAAATACTTTCCGCCAAGAATGTGGAATAGCATACGAGCTAAAACGGTGAGTGGCCTTTTGGCATCACATTCCACTGGAGGATGGCGTAAACGTGAGACTTGGTTGAGATTAATTTGAGTCTCTTCCGGGCCACTAATTTTTTGTCTTGCCGAAAAATCAAAAACCGAAATTATTCCTAACCCGAGCATAAATTAGTTGCTTCACTTGGGAGAATTTCTGTCAACAAAAGTGTCCCATAGATGTTCATTGATGTTCAGTGGATCAAGATATGCTCAGATGTCAACACGTTTCAAATCACCGGGTAGGTTTGCCAGGCAAAAGCATTGTTCCACGAGCACGTTCCTCAAACTAGCTACTTTCTCCCACGATGCATCTGAGTGTTATCTTAGATTCCATACTGTGGCTTCTTGATGACGGCTCCGAAATCGATAACAAGTTGGGAGGCAACGATCCATTTGTACGGTACGTTATGATGAAGTAAGGCTGTACAGTGATGGATGAAAGAGAGGCGTTTGGTCATGGCCATCTAGCTTCTTTTCTCCAGCAAAGTGCCGATCTACGATGTCAGGCGAACGCAAATAGCCGTTCTATCGTCCCCAGGTGCGCTCGCCTAGTGTGATGAACTTGTGGATCGTGTGTGTAAACACAGCCTGTTTATTGTCAGACACTTTCTGCTGGTATCAGGACACGCAGTAACCAGTAGATCTTCCCTATACAACCACGCCTTCTCAGTATTCAGTGCAAGTATGTTGGCCATGAAGTTCCTTGATGCGCTTGATTGCCCAAGGACTGCCTTTATAAGACCATTAGTGTTACAATACAGTGTTTTACCATGTCAGCTTATCTGCTGGAACCTCGTCAGTGTATCATTTGACAGACTAGTGCGGTGCTGTCAAAATCCTACCTGGTTTTTCCTTAGAGAACTTGTTGAGTAAAAGACTTACCTCTTTTATATTTTTTCAGAAAATGTGAGATCCAACATCTTCACGTCCTATCCATTACAAATGATGAAGGCATTCCATATGTCTTCGTTTCTGAGTACTGATCGAAGTCTCTTGTGTATAACTGTTACCATCTAGCACATATGGCGCGATGGACGATGGTTCCGAATGGAACAATGAAACCTACGAGAAGCTGGTCCCTCTTCAGTGGGTTCAGTAAGCATTCGACAAAGAAAGCTGATGTGTACCCATTCTGCTGAAAGCTGGTCTTGTGTAACGTTTCTACATCACGGTGTGGGGCAATGCTTTTTTTCGACTTCCCAGGTATCATTATTTATACAATGCGTACATACCTACTTATAACATTTAGTAATACGTTACAAAACGTTATGAGGGGAAAGCGATGGTGACATCCACAGAGAGCTCAACGGAAGTTGGAGCGAATTCCCTATGTACATGTGTGTAACTGAAACCAAAGACGTAAGAACAGGTGAAGCAATAGGTCCAACACTTACCTTGAGTAACCACAAGAACACTTCATAGATGTGGAACTGAGTGAGCCATGGCGTATGGTATAATAAAATGATTACTGTGAGAGCATCCGGCTGAAGTGGAAGAGTGGAAGACTTCTCACATTTATCCGTGAGAGATAGCTAGAACGTTTGTTCGTAGACAGGTAAGATCCACAAAGGAATCTGAGCAGCAAGACCTGTCCTGCTCAGGAAAAAAATATAAAAGGAAACTATAGTAGTCAGGAGGGTATATTGGAACTTCTGGAGTACGTAATACTGGTAACCTAGCGATAAAGAGTGGGACCTGCATAGAATATTTGCTGGCCTCGAATTCCTTCATAGGATGTTGCGTGGATGAGTCAATTCAGGTCATGACCTTGAAAAACTGATTCTCTGTTGGTACAGTGGACCGGAAGTGACCCCAACGTCTCTCCTCGATTAGATTCAGTGATCTGAAAAATTCCGTGTATATTTCTTCACTAGAGACCATCGCGCATTGCTTTATGTGTGAAATTTTCTACCGTTTTCTACTCATGCCTCCAATTCTCCAACTAATCAACGATAAAGTACGTCTCAGGCGCCAACTTCCATTCGAATGAAACACGCGGATTTTGCAGTTTCCTGGCATTAACATATAAAGTCAGAAGGTCATTAGAGGCTAGCACTCGCTACAGGCAGGGAACGGTCTTCTTCGCTCAAAAAAATAAAAGTACAATGTGCCAGAAAGTGGCATAGAGCGAGCAGTGATGGATAACGTACAACAGCCTCAAGTGAACCAAGGAATCACTCTGATCCGTGCTCATAATTCCCCCAAAGGCAGTTCGTCGCCATTTGGTGCTGTGGTTATCGCTGAACAGTGCCAGCCCATTGGACACACGGCTAATCTAGCTAATCAGTTCCAGTCACAACGAAACGAGTAGTAGATTGATTTTCAAGACTGACCATATCCCGCTTTAGATCCTTAGATCTGTCCGGAGTGGCTAGACATTTGAAAACGATGACATGTGGTTTATCTCATGTCTTTTCGTCAAGTTTCCACAATTAGTATGCGCACCGAGTATGAAGGAAAGCAGAACTTAATGGACATTCATCTAGGTCAGGTCTAGAAACATTGCGAAGCTTAAATTGAGTGTTTATCCTACAGTACACTTATGTTAGGGCTTTTTGAAGTGGAGGGCGAGTAATGATGGGCTAATTTGCACCTTTACATCAAATCTCATTCACGTTCGCCTGTTCAGACTTGAAAATTCAGATTCGTCCAAAGTGCCTTGGTGAAGTAGTGGTTACACGCCCGCCTCGCATGTCAGATGTCCGGGGTTCAGATCCCAGCACGGCCATTGGATATGCACTGCTGATTAGCTCTAATAAGGGCGAAACTCGAGTCCAGTGCTTCCCTATGATGTGAACTCACCGGAATAATCACGCCAGAACAGGAGGACGACCTTTCAAAAGCGCCAGTGGTGTGATCATGAACAAAGTACCTATCCAAGCAAACACAAGTCACTGACTGCGACCTTAGGAAGTCCCAGTCCAACATACTACTCGCATGCCTCCCACCATCAGTAGTATCACCGTTACAATAGCATTCTGAATATTCGTCATGGAAACATGACGAGATTGTGAAATCAACTGGTGTATCAGAAGAACCGTTTTTCAGAAGTGCTATCTGAAGAAGAGTTGACTTCAGTCTACTTTCTGATCGAATACCAAGTGGTATCATTCAAGAGGCCAGTCAGTAGGTGACCAAGTAATGTGAATTTTGTGATTGCAGACTGAATGCTGCTGTATCCTATCTACATAAAAGTTAATTTACAAGGTTGAGTGGCCACTCGTGGCCGAACAGTTATACGTTCAAACTGCTAGCCAGTAGGTTGCGGGATCCGCACTGCAGATGATTCTCAGTAGGAATTAAACAGCTGCACGATACATCTCTTGACAAAACACGAGACTATTAAGGTTGATGAGACTCACTCCATAACCCATGATTTTTTTCGGCTCACTCAACAGGTCAGCCTAGTCCTTGAATTTCTACCAATCTTGTTCTGACTGAATACCAGGCGAGCGGGAAAATACAATCACTATCTGGTAGAGACCTAACCCAATATCTCCCGTTTTTATGCTATTATCCAGCTGTATATGTTGCGCAAACATTTGTAAAAGCCGCGGGAACCGCATCTATATCAAACCTTGGAGACGAATACATACCTGGTACACTCACGTGAACTTCATGGCATGCAACCTTTTCCAATAAGTTACGTTCGAACCCTCGTACCTAGGCCCGGTTAGATTTGTACGAGGAGAGCAACGAGGAATGCGAATGGTTCCAAACTACTTGATCCAAAATGTCTGTAGTAACCAAGATGCCGATAGCACAAACCACACCAAATCAAGGACAGTCGTACGCACCTCGTATTGGTCAGTTTCACTGCACCGACTAGTGGCTGGGGGATATGGGTGAGGGGTAGTTAGTAACAGGAGAATTGATTTCAACCAAAACGCGTAAGAAGAACGTATCAAAGAATGAATCACGATTAATCATCTAGGGAACCGCGGAGAACTCCTCTGTTCTGATAGATACATGTTGGTACTTGGACCGTGTGTAATTCGACAAAGAACTGTCCCACAGTCACGTGTTCACGTGTTTCTGAGGTATTCTACCAGTTTTGGATATACTCAAAAACGACAAGTAACTGCGCTATCAGTAAGCAGTTTGTGAGTTGCACTCATCAATCACATAAATCATGTGAGATAGCTAAGCCATAAACAAGAACCTTCTCAAACAAATCAGTTCATTTCGTGCTCATAGGTAGGCATATATCTTGGAAGATTTAGCACCGAAAATGGGACAGAGAATCTCAAATATTGCTGGTAGTAAATCCATACCAAATACTAACTCTGTTAGTAAGATACCAGAGCAAGATAAACTATATTCGTATTGCACTACTCATAAGGTTACTGAAAATTCTCCGACAGCCCACGACCGGTTTCGCACTTCTTGGGGCTCATCAGGTAGGCGCAGTCCCCGAGTTTCCGTCAACCTTAGCGAATATACACATATTTGCAAACTAATTTTGTTTTTGCGAGAGACTCACCTGGAATCTAGCTGAATCTCTCGTTCGTGATGTTTCCAAGCAACTGAATGCGCCGCACCAGTTGGTTTCAGTCGGTATGATTTTCGAGATATTGCGATACGCGTACATTCGTAACGCACTACTCATAGGGTTGCTGAAAACTCTCTCCTGGGGACTTTACTAGAGGAGAATTCTGTCTGCGGAAACAAGAGGAATTTTCTACGGAATGGATATGCACATGAACCGATCAAAATGTATCATTTTGTTCTTTTCCTGTTTCCACCACCGGTGGCAGAGACCGAATGTTCTGATTTATTTTGGATATTGAAATCAGGGGCACGTAATGTTAATGAACAAGTTGCTGAGGGAAACCACGACTGTTCACGACCAGCCGGTCGATATTCGACCGGAAGTGATGAGTAGTTACTCAGTTCAAGATGCCGTATTTGTATTTGCTAATTTCATCTGACAACCAATCACTCCGAAACACATTATATGGATGGAATCGTTGTCAGCTGTCTGCTTGATCATCACGGTATGAAATTGTTCCAACTTACAAATTTTCTTCCTAACTGCCGACTGCAAGCGGTGATCTTCTTCATGAGGAGAAGCCCATGACCGAGCTGCCAGAGTTTTCAGCAACTTTATGAGTAGTATATTGTGTCTGAAAGTTGTACACTTGGGCTCGAAAATACTTGAGCTGATGAAACCGAAATATTGCAAAAGAAGTGTCGGGTAGGTGCAAAGTGACCACAAAAATACCCCACACAATCGATGAGAACAGTCAGATTGCCCACACATAGAGTGACAATTAGCACTGATAAGTTGAAATTATCTTTTATGAAAGCAGCTGTTGTGTTGACTAACACTCTCTTGCTCGTTAAGCTGGACTGTTGTACTAAAAAGATAATGGTTCTGATACACGGTTGGAAAACCGGTATAAAGGCGGAGATTGTGGCGAGTAACCCATGGTCAAGTTGTGTAAAAACAAACGTCCCCGCATCTGCCCGAATGTTGATTCTGAATTTATTGAACCGTTATACAGTGTTTGCTGATTGCTGTTTGGTTGGTTCAAACAACGTTCAAAAAGTTATGGGAGGCGCTTGAGGATGTCGCCTTTCCCAGAAACCTGTAAAAATGGAGCCTTTGCTGTCATATCTCATAGTTCCTGTTTCTCCGTGAATCCAAAAAGTTATGGGAGATAGTTGAGGACGTTGCCTTTTCCGGAATCCTGTACAAATGGAGCCTTTGTTTTCGTATCTCATAGATTGAAAATGCTTAGTTCCTGTTTCTCCGTGGATTCGAAGGTGTCTTTCATTCCACCGACACTGTTGAGAGGACGGGAAATCCAACGTCGAGCCTTCCTTGATGGTTGTGCGGAAGACTGTAATTTTTGTGATTAGCTATTCTGAAAGTTCGGCAGACGATGGATTACCTGCATCTTTCGAGTTCGGGTAAGCGGCTGATATCGATGACCTTTCAAGGTCATATTGCGGCCAAACACACGAGGAAAATGTGCTTATAGCATAGTGATTTCAAGGGCACGGCTATATTCCCCATATCATTTTTTGTCACACGTTTGAGCAGCATCACACTCACATCCTTCTGACGATCCAGATGTTCGTTAGCTTTATGACCGCACTCCAATTTGTCAAACAACCGGTCCTTCTGATCGTTCATAACAAACCAAATGTGTTCATGAACTTAAACTGGTCGTTACGTGTGCATGCTTCTGATTATATGAGAGCAGTTAGGAAACAACAAGAGGTTAGCGAATATACACTCATTTGCAAATTAATTTGGTTTTTCGAGGGGCTCACCTGGAACCCAGCTGAACCTCTC